TATTTTAGCGGCCGGCAGGTGGTGTGGTGGTTAAAGGCACTGGATTCCCACATGGCCAACCACAGTTCGAGTCCTGGACCTGGTGGCTTGCTCTCTCGCTTTCCCTTTCTCTCTCTCTGCTCAAATTAAATAATAATAATAACAAATGAAATTAAATATATAAATAATTCTTTAAAAAATAAAAACTGGATAAAGTTAAATAATTCTAAAAAAGGTAAAAGAGATTTATTTTATATATATTTTTATTATTATGCTTAAATTTTTGTTATAAGGCTTGTGCACTCACCAGAGAAAGAGAGAGAGAGAGAAAGAGAGGGAAAATGAGTAAGTCAGCTGCCAGGTCTGGGACTAAAATCACAGTTGCCCATGTGGGAGTCCAGTGCCTTAACCACCACCCTATCTGCTGGCCACATAAATAAATAATTGAAAAAAAAAGAAAAAGAGAGAGAGAAAAAGGGGAAGGTTGAAGAGCCAGAGGACCAGACAGCTTGCTTTCTCACTTCCCTTTCTATCATTCTGTCCCTCTCTGGTCAAATTAAAAATAAATAAATAAATGAATGAATAAATAAAATTTAAAAAAGAATTATTTTATTTAACTTTATTTATTTACTTATTTTTTAATTTGACCAGAGAGAGACAGAGAAAGAGAGAGAAAGAAAGTGAGAAAGCCAGCCACCAGGTCAGGGACTTGAACCATGGTTGGCCACGTGGGAGTCTAGCAACCTTGCGTGTGTTCAAACTTTTTTCTTTATAAATTTGCTATAGGGTGCATGTGCTTCTTGGAGAGAGAGAGAGACAGAGAGAAAGGGGAAGTGATATCACTCACTCCAAGGTGGGGGTGAGGGGGAGAGGCTCTGCTGCAATCCCTTCTCCTCCATTTTCCTCTCAGGATTTTGGGCATGCACACACACGCACCTGGCTTATTTTACAGGCCACCAGATCCCGGACTCAAACTGCACAGTTAGCCAGGTAAAATTCAGCCACCTTAGCCACCGTGCCACTGTCCGGTCCCAGACTTTTCTTTTAATAGCCCTCCTTTGGATCATTCATCAAAATTCACATAGCAACAACTAAAAGACCCCAGGCTCACGGCTTGCCATGTGGCTTCACACAAACCGGAGCTGAGTAATGGCAGCTGTTGCCCTCACTGCCATTCCCGAGGCTCTCTCCAGCCCTCTGCCCTCTAGAGCTCCCCATTAGCTCACCCCTTGAAATCCATTTGAGTCTAATGCACTTAGTACCCACCCTCCACGCTCCCCAGACCTGGAACCCACTTCCCCTGGGGTGCTCACCATCGTGGGGGGTAATGGCTAATTCCATAGCAAAGTGTCTGTCTTTCTGGGTGTGGACATGACCAGCTCACCTTTGCTGCTCTCCGACGGGAGCCTTCCCCACTCTCAGCCTCTTCATGCTCTTTGGCGCCCTGGGTAAGGTTGGTATAGCTGACGAGCTTGCCCAGCAGAGACGACACCTTTGGGCGGATGTCCAGTTCTTCCTGTAAACAGAGCCACGGGGCGAGATGGCAATGGGCCAGACTGGCGCCAGGCTACCTGAGTGGGGCGAACAGCCTGGCCGCTGGTCCCATGCCAAGCCCTGAGGCAGGCCCGGGGCGGGGCCCGG